AAGAGTTGCAAGGATAGGTCACTAATACATTGTTTGTGAAAGCCTAACTTTGGCTGAAACAAAATGAGGTGTGTCAGTGTATTGTTCGATTGGATGAGCGCAGGTTTTGCAGTCTGGTTACGAAGTGATAATTTAAAAATTTACCATTACAAAGGACACTAATATAGTGAGTGCTTGTGCCCAAGGTGGAGTGCTGATATAGCTGGTATCTACTTTTCTAGAATTATCAACCGTCTAGTGACGCGATTGTGCCATTTACAAATAACTTTCCTATCCGTGCTGTCACTAACAGTTCCGCCTTGTCTTTTTATTCAATCATACGTGTGTGTCTAATTTTTATCAATCGTTTAGCTTCTACATATTTCTCCCTCTTTTTTTTATCATTTTTCCAAATTTGGTATCGATTGGCTCACTCGTTCCAATCTTCGTTTTTACCTCTTGCTGCTGCTCATCTTATACCCTTTTCCCCTTCCTCAAACAAGTGGAAAGACTATCAAGTGAACGAAGGCTGTCTGATTAAAATTTCCTCAAGGTCCGAAATCCGCTCACTTAGGGTGTTTCACACCCAACAAATCATTTTTTGATTGGCGATAGAAGGCTTTTCTAATAAATACCTTTACTTGCCTAATTTTGTCTTGAATGCATCAACTGAAGACTTGATGGAAGAAATGATACTCACAACAATATAGTTCCGTCTCGTTTTTTGAACGGTTGTCCTATTTCTCTTGAAATGCACAAGGACTGGCTACCTGGACGCAGTATTCTAGTTTCGATTTTACCAGAAATGCATATGAATTATTGAAAATTGTTCAGATTATTGAAAATTTGACAGGTTGTTCTAGTTGAAGTGCTGCGTATTCCCCATAAGGATCTAAAACTTCTAACTACCACTAGGCAACAACCAGCCGCAGTTTATAGTCATGGCTTGACATAAAACACGTTAACCCATGTGTGTGTCAACTGTTGGGAGTTGTATTCACTCCATACAAAACCTACATAATACTGATTGGTTGGTATAATTAACTGTACACCGCTCACATCAACCAGTAGAGTTTGTTAGGCCATGGTAACCATATTCAATCGAAAAATAAGAGGTACTTAGATGAAATACTCATGTGATTGTGTGATGATTCTGTCATTAAATATCAGATGAGATCAAAGTCCATTTCAGTGTTACCATAAAATCTACTGAGATTGAAGTAACAAAGATATTGACAAGAACAGAGGAATCATGATTATCAATTCTGTATTGTACTTGATTGCACTGCTGCTGAATAACTCACTTTATACAGTAGCGATAGTCCCGAAGCCGTCACATTACGAAAAATCTTCGACACTTTGCCATTTAAAAGGCTTACCTGAAATTCAACACAGCTATTCCTCATGCAATATATTGTCAGAAGCTCTGGTGAGATTTGAAAGGCGGTTGGGATGGAAACATCCGCCAAATCCTGAAAAAGTTGAAGTCACATGCAACATAAACACTCTAACTATCAAAATCGGATACGGATGCAACGAAAGCGACGGTGAGCTATGGCCATCATTAACTGCATCAACTGATGAATCATGTGAGTTGTACCACAACGACTAATTCAACCACCATTTTGCAGATTATGTGAGGATAGAAGACTCCCAAATTACCATAGGCTCCAGCGAGGTTTGGGGTGCTTTACACGCCCTTGAGACCATACTTCAATTGGTGTACCGAGGTGAAGATGGAGCGGTGAGTTTCGTTTTTACCTTTGGCTTGATTTCATTATTTCATTTCATCATATAGAATGTTATATTTCAAGGATTTTTGATAGACGAACCGGATTTCGTACACCGTGGAATGCTGATAGATACTGCAAGATATTTCTTGCCACTTGATGTCCTGAAGAAACTAATAGTAAGAAGTGCAATAGTAGGTATGATGCTTTCTCTTACCAGGATAGCATGGCCATGGTCAAGATGAATGTGTTTCATTGGCATATAACAGATGATCAATCATTTCCCTTTGTCTCGTCTACTTGTCCGAAACTGTCAGAGGTGAGTAAGGTGAAAATCAGGTTATTTATTGATCGAAATGTTTGTTTAAACTACAACAGGGTGCATATCATCCACTGAAGTGCACATATGGTGAAGTAGATGTGAAAACACTGCTGGACTATGCCCGTCAACGTGGAATTCGTGTCATTCCAGAGTTTGATACTCCAGGTAGGTAATTTTTAAATATATTTTTAATAAGATGTAATTATCCATCATGTGAGTTCAAATGAAATAATACCATGCAGAGATTTGAATCAGTATGAACATGCTCTTGGAATGATGCTGAAAGTAGACTGTCTATCAACCAATTCAGCATATTCATCATAAATATAGGGCAGCTTATGCATGATTTCGTGTTTGAGGGTATATTGAAGCAAGGAGATGATGATAGGAGTTACCTAGCAGGTTTGATTTTGCTGAAAGTTGTAAACCCAAGGTGGTTGTGAAAAATTCGCAGTTTGTGATTCTGTTCAGTCGCCAACTATTATCCAGACAATATGCGGAATTATCCGACCAGTGAAATACGGGAATATCATTGGTCCAATGTTTGCATTCAACGTCTTACAGTTGATCCTTGAATGGACCAACGTATTTAGTGTGAAATACATGTGATATATGAATTGAATAGTGTATAATTTCAGACAGCAGAATTCGAATCAATCTCAGATGGTGAATCCATTAATCATCGTATTTTGTATCTCAACGACATTATTTGTCGAGATATTGTAAGGCTGATTTCCATTAACTGTCACAATTATCTATTGTAGCACATACATTGTCATGGGGGAAAGGATATCCAGACCTACTAACAAAATGTTATGGCGGTGCTCATCCAAATGGAAAGTTGGGTCCATTGAATCCAGCCAATTCATCATTGTATGAGTTTTTGGAGAAATTCTTTGAAGAAATCGTCAGCAGGTTTCATGACAATTATATTCATCTTGGCGGCAATGAGGTTGACTATGAGTGCTGGTGAGTTCTGTTGATTTTATGTAAGAGTAAATGAAGAATCAGTGTTATGGCATCGCCATACTTTCATTTCAGACTGAAGGCATACTTTTCCCTGTTTCAGATAAACAGGTTCTGAACTAGTCTCATTTAAACAATTTTCCCATCAACTCAACTGAATTTCAATAAATATTCCGTAGCAGCAACAGGAAGAACAGCTTTCGATTTCATCATTAGGAATTGACGCCTTTTATTTGCCGATTTGTTGATTGATAAGAAATATGGAAAAACGCCACTTACAGTGTTGTCGTGACGTCTTTTTGAAGTTTGTGCTGAAGATGCCAAATAAATTTCATCAAAAACTGTGTGTACATGGAACAGTGTATAACAATATTCGGGCGTTTCTCAACCTGAGTGACCGACTTACTAAAATATATTTTTTGTATTAAACTGTCCATTTATCTGATATTACTGGCGCGTTGCAAAACATTTATTGCAATCAAACATGGGAGCGACAAATCGCCAGTGAAATATCATCTGACATTATTCCCCTTCTGATTGGTTAATATAAGGGAATGCAGACAAGTATCCATAAGACACGCCTATTTCTTCTTCTTCTTCAGTAGAACACTGAATATTACAGCACCCATCTATCTCATTCTTTTCCTTCCACTGAGTGGAATAGAAAATCTTCATCAACAATCTATGATCAAGTTGTATTTTAACAATTAATTCATGTAGATTAACTGGGGACTTCAAATTGCTGCTCCTTATTTGTAGGCAGTTTAAGTTGAATCATCGACAAGAACATGGAACAAATATATTTATTGTCTTCCTGTTTATTTTAGGAGGTCGAATCCAGAAATAACCAGCTTCATGAGAGACAAGGGATTCGGTGAGGATTATTACCAATTACATAAATATCATCTGGCGAAAGTTATTGAGATTGTTAAGAAGATGACGACACCCTCTGAATTACCGATCACTCCTATTGCCTACCAGGAGAGTTATGCTGAAGAATGTGAAGTAAGTTTCGGAAAATATGTTTGTATTTAAACGAATATACTCGATATTCAGTGACGATCATCTGTTCCATGTTGGCTGATTCGGTGTCTAGAGATAAATAATAATCCATCTACCTCATCACCATCAGGGAAACAGATCTAGGTCGCCGAATGCTGCGTTTTGGTGATAGGAGAATATTGTCTCTTATTACTTGTCCAGCGAAGTCTCTCATGCTGAGTGTGGCTAAGCTCTCCCACTATCATAACCCAGTCGACTTAGATACAGTTGAATAATCCCTGTGCCTGATTGTGAAGTTATGCGGTTATATTTGATCAATGAAGTTATTTCATGTGATTATTCATTTTTGACAAGACATAGGAGTTCACTTCATAAATAGAAATTTGTATTCTGTGCGCCTTTGTGTTGAGTGTCTGTTAAGACATAGGATCCCAGAACAGACATCCTGGCTTTTATATTTGTTCCCAGTTCCAGTGGTAAACTTGTCGTTCATTAGAGTGATCATATCACTAGTTGATGAGTCTTGAACGGAAAGAAACTTGTATCTACATTTTCACTGTTAACAAACATGAACAGAATCAAATCAACATTTATTTAGTTTAATTTAAGTTCTCTAATCATCTTGAAAATTTACTTGATGAATAAAGAACAGAGGTGATTTAGTTTTATTCTTCGGTTGAATAAATCTAACGTGTTGCATATTTTGTCCATGTCAAATGTCTGGCGAACCTCTGAAAAGATGCATCAGAAAATTTGAGATCTCAGGTTAAATAACTTCATAAAGTCAACCTGTAAACGAAATGCTTCATCCATTCGATAATGCGCCATCCCGAATTTCCAGAATAACAATCAAGCGATAATTCCTTTCAAATTAATCTTAATAGTTATATCAGTTTGATGTTCATACCACTAACTTTACAAATGTTTCATTCGGTTTAACAGATTGATCATGAAACAATCATTCATGTCTGGAAAACTGTAGATTGGCAAAAACACGTCTACGAAGCCACTCTAGACGGATATAATGTTATAGTTTCTGGTACATGGAATCTCAATGACATACAAAATGATCTTGATTGGATGAGATATTACGCACAGAATATCAGAGATTTCGGAGGTGAGTTAATTTTCGCGTAGTCTGAAACAAATACTTCTTTGAACCAAATTTATGTGTTGACGGCATTTATCTGGGTGTGTTCTAAGTTTCGCTTTGCCTGTCTTATGCAACATTTTTTTAATGAACACGGATTCACAATGATTGCAGAGAGTGCGCTGTTTCTTGAGTCAGAAGTGTGAGTCGTTTGACTTTGTACAGTATGTTGGCATATTAACAACAAAATGTATATACATATATAATGGAAGTCAATGGGACATTCACATTAAATTCAGGAGTCAGTCATTAAGGAATTGTGTAATATTCGGGATTTGTAGATCTAGTTTATGATTTTGTTTTCCTTGTTAGTGCATTTTCTGAAATGGTTGATTTCATTACGAATTCATGAATACTGAAGAAGTGCACTAACGAAATCAAACAATCACTGAAGAATCTTGACTTAATGAAGTAGATTTGAGTCTCGACATCGGATTGTTTGTAACGATAAACACTAATGTCTATTTCACTATCACTAAACATCTACATTCGGTGAAACACACATGGCAGTGATATTGGTGGAAAGGAAGATGTTTGTAATTTTTACAGTGTCGAAGTGGTTGCGTCATTTCATCCAGAGATTGAACCGACAATATTGCCACTGATGGAAAGACTTGTTGCTTACTTTCGGGATTGTGTTTATCCTGTTTTTATGAATGTAATTTTTGCGGGATATTTTAATGTAGTTTTTGTTACTCTTATTCAAACATGCAACTCACTTCATCCTTGCGATAATACATACGCTGTTTAGATCTTTCCTGTAGTGTGAAAGAAATTTGATGCTGTCTTTATTGGACAGTTAGAATAGTTTCTTCCTAGGCCAGCATTAATAAAGATAGCAGGGGGCAAATTCATTTTTCATTACATTGGAAACATGTTCGAACCTCTATTTAAACTGGTCAAATTTTGACTAGAGACATTATGTGTAAAGTGTTGTGCATAAGATGACATTCCACTGAGTAGCATATCTAAAGACATAGTGTTCCACGATGTGATTCAATTATTCCATGCGATAATCTGATGTGGCAAAAGAATTTTTCTGTTACTCGATGAAACTAATGCCATCGTAGTGCGCTGATGGACATCACCAGTGATGTGTGAAAATACCAGCTGAGCAGTTTCGGTAGGGTTGATTAATATACGACTGACTCATTAGTGTATCTAATAAAGACTACAGTGAACATACACCAGTTCATTCTAAGGGAACTGAATAATTAAATCTATCGATGATCCTGCTTCTTCGAAATCGTTGGACAACAGGACATCCTAATAATTTGGGCATCATCAGAATACATTTAAAACAAGAATAATAAAAGTGGACAATTTCGGTTTAGTAAGTGTCTCAGCCTCTTCGGTTACAAATCCATTCCTGTTGGTGAATAATTCTCATTGAAGGCAATTGAGAATTATATCAGAAAGTGTATCATGACAGAAGTATGAAGTGATATAATAGTCATTGCGTTTTGATTATCATTTGACATGTGCATGATCAATAGGGGCATGAGACAACATGAAATTGATTCGCTTAGTGTTATCTTTGTGTATATATAATCAAGAAACAGTATCTGTTTTAAGGGATTTGTTTAGTCGGAAGTGAGACATACAAAGTGAGTACCACTGAGGAATAAACACGCAGATATAATACGCTATACTTAAGTCTAAACTGTGACAGATAAGAATGATAAGTAAAAGGTCATATCACTGGTATAGTGGGAATACAAATGTGCTATTTATGGACCGTTATCGAGTAATGAGGGAATTTAATAAAGTGGAATGAAACGCGTTGTATAAGTAAAACAACGAATCTGAAGAACATAACGTGAACCTTGGTCAATTGACATAATACAAAAGATCATGAAACTGTAGAAAGTTGCCAATGAAACGGAGAACAGAAAAAATGGAATTGGGATTTCAAGTGTTAATTTTCAACATAAATGGAGGAGGTTGAGGTGAATAAAGAGGCTGCGCACATCTCATCCAGATATGGAAACTGGGTCCTCTTGTATTGACTGACAGAAAACCCAGTTGGACTCTATTACATACGTCTCCAAGGACATCGTAAATCATCGAGAATGCCTTCTCCGGACAGGTTGCTAAGATTACACGATTCAAATATTTTTAGCCTCTTTATACAAAGATACAAGTACACTTTTGTGCTCACCCGGATGAAGATCACTGGGTATGGCATATGCAATAGGGGACATTCCAGTTTTTAATTCGCAGACGCACATTACTGAGGGTATCGTTAGCAATTTATCCTTGACCTGCTATGTGAGTAGCTCTTTAGTTCGGAATGAAGCACTGGCTAATCCGCAGGAAATCTGCGTTACATTTTGAGTGTTGAACAGTAGTTAACAGAAATTTTCAATTAGTCAAGGCAGTTGACCTGCAAATCTATCAGTCACGTTCTTCAGTAAAACATGCGGATTTGACTTTCTGAAATCCAGTAGATTTTCCTCACTGAGTTCATCGGTTCCCCGAGCGAATAACACTTTTCATTTTGTTTACAGGCTCATTTACGCAAACACAATCAGTCATTGGAGGTGAAGCTACACTGTGGAGCACACGTGTGGATGCGACGAATATAATGTCACTAGCGTGGTGAGTACTCTTCACTAAGTCTTCCTATTATTCTCACCAAAATCATTGTTTGATAGGTATCTCAATTGTAAATCAAAATGTTGTTTAGGACAGAAAATAACAAAATGTTTCGGTGATGATTTTCAGTCAGAATCTGAACATTGAAACCCATTAACATAACTATGAGTTTAGATGACGACATGTTGGAAATAGGATGATGACTTCATCTCAAACTCACTGTTGGTCAACATCAAACCAATATCATTAAAGGTTGAAAAGTATTAATTCGTTAGGCTCCTTCAACTATACACCTAGTATCAACAGACAACATACCTACACGTGATCCGTGAAAATGAAGTTCAACTTCGACTTGATTTAACTTTCTTTGAATTGCCATATGGAATCATAATGACTGAATATCTAGACTGTGGGATTTTGTTCCCGTTAAAGTTGCATTTCCCTGTCTATGAAAGACAACTTTGACGAGAAATCGAGTGACACGTTTGTTCATTTCATGAAGCGTCAGGACATATGATTCACAGATGAGAATTTTCTAGCCAATTAATTTGCTAAAATTACATTCAATGCACTACCGAGCTACATTGAATAAGTTAAGACAAAACGTCAACGCGATGTGTTTTAGTTCACCTCGCTGACCACAGTTTTCTGCGTGTTTCTTCTCATCATTGTGATAAATATGTAGGCCTAGAGGTGCTGCTACAGCTGAACGACTTTGGACGAAACACCTTGACAGCATAGAAGAATTCGGAAAGAGATTGGACGAACTTCGATGCAGAATGCGCCAGTGAGTTTCTCTCAACTTAGAGTCATGCATATTCTGTTTAAGCATTGTGGTTCTGTGGCCATTCGATGCAACTATGAATGGAACACTGTGATATGGTTATGTCAGTAATCTCCTTTCCTTGACATTCAGTGTCATCAAGTAAGGTGCTAGCGAATTATTCCGTGACAAACTATTTGACGAATTGATAACTGATCATATCTAAAATTCCCAAACATGAATGTTATCAGAGATGGTAGGCATGTCATGGTTAAGAGAGGACACTAAGAACTCTGAACACTCGACATAAATACTTTACATTTGGAGTGTTGAAATGAAATATTGTGAATGAATGTGTAGTGTGTGGATACTCTCACCTGTCACGATCTCTGAATCTTTTAATAATACCCTGTTTTCTGTGCACAGAACAACAGAGACAGTCATCACGTAATGGTCAATTACGTTATTGCTGAACAATTATTTTAATCGTCACCTGGTCCTGATCCCCACAATGTATAAGAAGTTAGTTTTAATTGTTTCTAGCACAGAAATTGATTCAACTGATTTGATTTATTTCAAATAGTATCAGTACAAACATGGATAGTTTAGCAGTTCAACTATCCCCACTTCTGATTCAGCCAAAGGTATATTTTTCAATGACAAACTTAATCTGCACGCAACAATGGCATTTACAGGAAAAGATCCTGGTGTCTGCGATTTCCTAAACATCATGGGGTTGGTTATTCACTGCTGAAGTGCTACAGAATAGTGCATTTAACACGGAATTTTAAGTAAAGTACAGCAGTGATAAATCTAAAGTGGTCAGCGAAATTGTCCAGTTCATTGACTAACAATCGTTTCAGTTCAGCAAGAAATAGTCCTTTTGCAAATGTTGAAGGAGAACATACAAATGACGCGTCATTACTGACTCCATCGCTTTCCTAATTTCTGTTATTCAACGTGTGAAACAACACTGCCGACAATAACTTTAAATATGTAGCTGACAGCAGACTTTTCTTTATTTATTTAACATTTGATTTCAGGAACGGCATACCAGCTCACCCTGTTCTTGGTCCTGGTTTCTGTCCATTTTAACGTGAACAATTTGCGGAATTCTACTGAAGATTGTAATTCACTTATTTTTGTTTGATATCTGAATGATTTCTATGTAGAATGAATTTCTAATAGACTCCTGATATCCAGTTGAATACCTTGTTGTTTGAGGAATATACTCGCTCTCTGTTTAGAAATACGCTTTCTCAGGTGTTCCGCCCAACACTCTCTCAATCCTATCTCAATGCAGAATCTTATCAAAGTAATTCTGATGTTTGTGAGACGAGAGCAGTTGTTCTTTGATAATTACTCCTTATGGCCGCTTAAAATTATTCCGGTGGAATCCCACCACTGTGCATATTTAAGGTCACCTAATTTCGCTTCACAGACATGAAGTGACTCTCCATTGAATACAAAGTGCGTGCTTATTTTTTTCTTATTCCTTCACGTTCCCAGTGGAACTTAGGGCTTCAAGCTAGAGCTCTGAAGTTGATATTTTATTTTACAGGGTGGGTTCGCTAACCTCATGCTCAACCTTCTTTCTTTACCACCTTCATAACCGGCTTAGCGAGATAGAGGATTGCGCCTGTCGAGGATCGAACGCCGGACCATGTGCACGATCCGCAAACGTCCTAACCGCTGTGCCACCGACACACACGCCAGCTTATTAATTGATTAAACATAGCCGGTAAGGTACAATACGATTTTGTTGGTATTAGGTGGTTGAAGGTGATCGGCAGGAAGCCTTGGACCTGGGTTTCGTGTTAGTTGGCACTCATCAACGCGTATCTGCAACTTTGAAGGAACTGATGTCTTCTGAGATTCGAACCTGCGTCACCCAGTGCTATAGTCAGAGACGCTACCACTGAGCTATTCAGCCTCACGACTGACCTCCTTTAGGACTGCACTGGATGCCCTATTCAGGCAGTTGACCTGAAGTTCTTGTGGGAAGCTGTGAGCGTTAGGATGCAGCAGGTTCAAGATGAGGCAGTAACTCATCAAACAAGACATTGTGGAGTGTTCGCGCTATGTGATGAATTGGCAGAAGTTAGAATTTACGGGCTGGCTGGCCATTCGATCGGGTTCCAGTGACGTCATTGTGCACGAGCTCGCTAGCCCTGTAACCAGAAGGTCCTTGGTTAGAACCCTATCCGTGGGTGCGTACTGATGTAGATTTCCGAATTAGGCTGACGAAACAGCTGTCCAGTACTTCCCATTGTCTTCCAATGGTTCTCTAACTGATGTCAGCTGATCATAAAACCGTCCAATCAATCAAAGTAAGTGCGTCGGTGGCATAGCGGTTAGGACGCTCGCCGACATGCACATGGTCTGGGGTTCGATCCCCGGCCGACGCACTCCTTTACCTCGCTAAGCCAGAAATAATGTTGGTGAAGATGAAAGGTTGGGCATGAGGCTAGCAACCCCATCCTGTAAAATAAACACTGCTACAGAAACTTCAAGCCTCTAGCTTGAAGCCCTATGTTCCACTGGGGAACGTGAAGGAAAAAAAAATCAAAGTAAAGTCCCTGCGAAACCAATACTTGATAATTTGAAAACATTCGATACAAATTCACTGTAGCCAAACACCAATAAACACTTCATTAAATGTTGTTTGCTTCAATCTAACTGACTTCAAAAAGTTGAAAGTCGGCAAAATCTCCACTAGATGAAGTGCATGAAATCTTCATCGGTTTATAATTGATATAAGAATAAAACTCTTCATCGGTTTGACTCACTGTTGAACAATTAACATGAATAAAGACTTGAACGTTTAATCAATCACTGATATTCGAGTAGGTTATGTAGAGTCATTCATGTCTCTATCCAGAAGAGTAATAGTGGAAACAGGTCTACTGATCAGAAAACGTGTACATAATTGGACACCAATCCATCCATTTTGTCTTGTCAGTTCACATAATGCACACTTTCAAAATCCCATGTCTTTGTTTCACTTAGAAAATGTACTTGTGGAATGAAAATCGCATAACTTCATTTCCAAATAAATTACGCTTTGCTGTCATCTTACATATAAGTCTAAAAGTCACACGACATATATGCCTGTATAAATAATGGACGTGTAAGTAACCCTTACTTCATGTGCAATATTGTTGGCATCTGGAACCTGGCGCCTTTCATGTAAAATGTCTTGAAAATATACGTTTTTATTATTCCTATACGTCTTCTTCAAGTGGAACGATCGAGTGTATTTATCAATTAGGCGATCGATAAGTGATTAGGCAGTGTCGTATTTCCCTACTGAGTCAGTTGATTCACACTAAAGGAAGAATAAAATGGAATCTGCCTATCGAGTCAACTTGATTTCAGTTAGTCAAGTTCTCTGCTACCGTTTATTGAGCAATTAAGCTAAATAAAAATTACAGGTAATTTCAGTTGAACAGCAACTTTTGTGAAACATGATTAATATGAACATAAGTCGAGGAACAAATGCTAAAATTGTTATTATGCGCTTTAGACGTTGGGAATGACCAGCGTCGATGGGATCTGGTTGAAGAATTCTGTAAAGATGAATTCCCTTCACTATTGTGTCAGCTACTGTGCTTATGCGCCTTGCTACTGACACAAGGAATGACTATCCATCAATCTGGGTGTGAACTGTGAAAATTCCGTCTGTTGACTAGTCTCTCAACATTGCTATCTCCTACTCTTAAACATTGTTCCAACGAGTTCCTTCTATCAGAGAGACGAATGGTGAGAGTGCTTGTACAAGTGTTCTCAGGTGAGGATGAGGAGTTTCTATTGATTGCTGAATGTTATGTAACTTCCGTCTCAATTTTACAACCTGCAAAGTGAATTCACAGCTTCAATGAGATTTAAGCTAACTCATTTGAAATAACTCATTTTGAAACGATAGTTTTGTGAAAAATGTTAACGCTAAATCGTGTGATATTAGTTATTAAACTGTGTCACTTTATTATTTATTGAAGTGACTATTCATGTACAAAAATCAAGTAGTCTGAAAAAATGTATTTCAATTCGAAAACAAATATTCGTATAAGTTGTTTTCCTACTGAAATGTGTGTGTACTTTGAAACTAACATCAAAGAGACAGAGACGGGGAAAGATAACAAGCCGCACATTTTATTCTGATTTTTTTGTAGTTTTAGTTTAGTCACAAAATAAATTACACCGTAATCTTTGAACTCATAGATATATTCTTGAATTACATAAACAGTTTTGAGTGTTTATTTTTTATGAAAAGTATTTTGTTAGATTGTAATGAGACATGTTAGAATGGTTAAACAATAAATGGCATTACTGCGTTTATATTCAAAATCATTTTCCTTCATATTCATTCCTGCTCAATAATGACCGTCTTTTCGAAGACTTTTATTATTACTATAAGGAATAAACGAAGGCTACGATGACGCCTTTAATGTGCAAACACTTGGATGAGGCTAACATTGACAAAGTCATTCAGTTAGTTTCCTTCACCGTTGTGTTGTCTATTGTAGCGTCACTATCAGTGACTTAGCGCAATTAAGATGAAATCTGTTTGAAAGCAATCTTGAAAGGATTATGTATATTAAGAATAATATATAAAATAAGTATCGAACATTGATAATGTTCAGTAGCCTCTCAATAAAATATGACTTCCATCTAAGTGCCACAGTTAGAAATATTCAAGAACATCGAATTCGTGGCCCAGTGACTCCAGCGTTCTTGTCGTATTTGAAAGATGAAATGTTTCTTTACGCAATAGTTGTGCTAGAAATCTCAAGGAAACCGTATACATAAAAGATATTCGAATTTCTAAAGAAATACATGAAGCTTTGTGATGTATTAAATGACCTTGAAACTGTAATGCAATCGGCGTAAAAAATACAACTGGTGGTTTAGGTGTTAATCTGAGTGACTGCTTGTTCTCACTGAAATGATGCGCTCAGTTTATGACACTCTAGTGTATTGAAAAAGATAAAGAAAATATTCTCAACCTTTGAAATGGTAATAAACATTGTGAAGATTTACATTCTAGTTCACGTCTAGGACGTCAAGTCTAGGATCACGAAAAAGTGAGGCTTTGTGTAGTGACAGTTCATCTCGACAAAATATCACTTAAAATGTCGTACTGGGTCTACTGACTCCAAACACACGCCCTTAAACTCGTGCATTTATACCTTATCTCTTGGTGTCATGGATTCAGTCAAATATTTTAGTGTGTATTTAATGAGTAAGTGTGTCGGTGAAGTCGTTTGTCAATGAAGAGTCAATTTATAATAAGAGGCATTTCGTTATCCTGAACGACGTAAGGCATCTGCAATCCATTCTATTATCTCTACATGGAAAACATTCATTATTTTGGCATTGAGGTATATTTAAAATACTCTGCAGCAGAATTTCTACAAGGAAACAATTTTGGCACTGTGATACATTATAACTTCATCATTAGGTAACTCGTAAATTCATAAAATATACAGTCATGCATTATTACTTACTGGTGATATTCTCATCACATTTCGGTGCTGGTTATGATATAAAGGATTTCCATCCTTCCATGTCTTCGGATTTTACTGGTAGCCAAATTCTTTCCCATGTAGGATATTGGCACTGTATCACTCGTATTCCATGTACTGGATGTAATATATTCAGTGATCATGTCAATATGGAAATTTTTAAAGTGTAGCACTAGCTCACTCTAATGTGTGTGGCTGTGCGATAGTGAGTGCGCAATGATTAACAGGTATTCCTCAGAATTATTCATTTTCCTGATGTCACTGAATAAATTACACATTGCACATTGCAGAATATCTGTGGCAGAGTGAAAATCACAGCCTCACGTTCTGAAATGCTCCCAAATAGTTTCGCTCCGACCAAGGTGTCAGAAAAACGGGAAGAGAGAGTTAAGAGGGGAATAGAACTGGGAAGATCAATGTTCAAAAGGGTTAAATGAAGGTGTAGCCTCTTTCCAGGCTCCACATTATGTATTTGTCTCTTTATTTACGTCATTTTCGTCGGATTGTCTTCCCAATAATCCGATTGATTTCCCCTCATTGACGAATAATTCCCCCCTTTCTCCCAATATTCTCCTCCGCATTCATTTCATTTCCACCTGATTTTTCAGTACTTTCCCCATCATTCGTACCAC